CCGCACTCCTGTGCTCGCAGCTTATGCTACTTCTTCCTCCTCTCGTCCACGACGCGATTTGCCATCCGTCACGGACGGATCCTTCAGCAGTGGAGCCGGATGATCTGTGAGGACGAGGTTCCTTGGCTGGTCACCCCATCCCGATATCAGCATCAAGGGGTCAGGAGTTCAATTAAAGAGGTGTCATAAGGAAAGGAAACTTACGAAGACGATGTACCCCGGTTCTGGCCGCATCGGAGGGTGCCCCAGAACGGATACATGAACTCGAGGACGGTGCCATCGTCGTCGCGTGAAGGCTCCATCGCCTCCTTGATGCGTTGCGCTACCTCGGAGGGGGAGAGCGCTCCTTCGTTGAGCGCCGTCCCATCGAGCGACGCCCCAAGCGCCATCGTGTGCTAGAGGAAGCGCACGCCTCATCAGTGGCGCCACCCTCCTCATGTGGTAGGCGTCGATGATGCCCGACCCCTCCCTTCAAGAATTAGAGGGAGGTAAGGTGGACCTAAATCCTCCTCTTGTCCTTATCTAGGACTCCCCACTTCCTCCACGAGTCTAGGACCTCTTCGATGAGGCGCCTAGTGAACTCAGGTAGGGGTGGCCGCATCGTTCTTAATGTAGAACCAATGCCAATGCCACCCCTTGTTGGAGGTCGACAGACACATTGCCGGGTATTCGCCGACCCGGTTGTTGCGGAGTTAGATGCCGGCGCATCCCATCGGCATGTTCAACTCCTGCTTCTTCAGGAGGGTGACGGCGAAGAAATACCGCCACAGGTCGAAGTGGGGATTAATCCCTAGGAATCCCTCACATAGGGTGACAAACACCGCCATGTGCTGGATTCCATTAGAATTAAGGTGCTGCAGCTCCACCTTGTAGTAATGCAGCAACCCATGAAGGAACTTGTGGGCGGGGATGGCAAATCCCCACTCATGGAAGCGAGCGAAGGACACGACATAGCCGTCGGGCGACGACAGCGCGTCCTCATCGCCGGGCAGCCGCCACTCCTTGGCGGCGGTCCGCGCAGAGAAGACCGCGACGGACGAGGCCCTCTAGGCGCTAGAGGGTGATATCAGATCTGCACCACGTCTCCATCGAAAGATTGGGGTGGGTGGATGCGAATTCGACGATGGCTAAGACGCGGATGCGAGGAACTTAGGCATTTGGCGACGGAGGTTGCAGATGCGAAGGCAAGGAGGCAAAGTACGAAACCCTAGGGGTGAACCCTTTGGTGTTATAGGGGCGATGGATGTAAGGAAACCAACCATCCGCCTAGATCTCCGTGCCTGCCATGATCTGCCACCATGTCACGTCGCGAGATATGCACCCGCAATCCCTATCCTTTCCCGCCGAACACGCGCCGGATGTTTCGCTTCTCTGGGCGGACTAGGACTCTTTTATAGCAAAAGGAATACGGGTCAAAAAGCGTTTCTATGGCCCGCCTGAGCCCAGGAGCTCAAGGGCTGGCCCATCAACTGTTTCAACGGCCGTCCCAAGGCACTCTTACGATAAGGGATGGGCCCGCAAGCGGCCAGAACTCAGGCGCACGAGCGTCATCGGAATCTCAGCCCTCGATCGAGTCTCAGCCCGGTTGACCCTGGCCGAATCCCCACAAACGGGATGCCGGGACCCCAGTCGCGCTATCTAGCTAACAAACCATCAAGTCTGACGGCCACACCCGCGAAGGGTCCGACCATAGCGAAAAGGAATCACCGTCCCCAAGACACGTCGTGGGCGACAAGAGAAGGCCAAGGCCCACAGAGTCCTCTCTTTCAAAAAAACCTCCGAAGGAGTATTCTATTCCTCCGCAGATCGGGGCTACACCCACCGGGTGCGCTCACTGGCAGGTCAACAAATCATCCAGACGATTCTACTCGAATTGCCCGAGGGCTACTGTCGGGGACCAATACTAGGGTACCCAAAGAGGAGGAGTTAATGCCCATCAACGCCAATTCATTAGAGCGATCAAGAACGCAACTACATTTCTTGGTGGGCCCCGCCTCGTCCAGCCACCAAGGCCGCGGGCTCCGCCTCGCCCGGCCCCCGAGAGCTAGCTCGGTCTCGGCTGGTTCTCGAGGGTTGGCTCTGCCCCGTCCGACCCCCGAGGGCTGGCTCCACCTCGCCCGACGTCTGAGGGCTAGCTCTGCCTCACCCAACGTCTGAGGGCTGGCCCTGCCTCGCCCGACGTCTGAGGGCAGGCTCCACCTCGCCTGACCCCCGAGGGCGTCTAGGCGTCTGAGGGCTGGCTTTGTCTCGGCCGACGCTTAGGGGCTGCCCGCCTCGCCCAACGTCTGAGGGCAGGCTCCGCCTCGCTCGACCCTCAAGGGCGTCCGGGCGTCTAAGGGCTAGCTCCACCTCACCCGACGTTTAAGGGCTGGCTCCGCCTCGCCCGACGTCTGCGCACGACTCCTTGACAAAGACGCACAGAGCAGATAAGGCAAGGCGCTCAAAGTCAACCACAGTACCGAGGACCGAACCCTACATCCCTATAGGACAGTACCGTCAGGCCATACCAGAGGGGTGCTTTACGACCTTCGAGGCATGTCAGAGCCCAAACAGCATTATAGGCGCCGACATTTGCCCTCGGGCACGGATCCATACGGAAGCTAACGACAACCTCTATGGTCCAGAAGAAAACTCGCATCACCCACGATAGAATAGACGTCATAGATTACATGCTACGCCGCTTCCCGTATGGCGGACGATCAAGACTCGGTCCGCTGCGCGCCCGCCAAGCGGCGGGATGGATGACAACCCGTTGACAATGTCAGGACATGACATCTGTCGGTGAGACGCCCAATAGAGCCTCACGAGATCGGCCACCATGCACTCGGCGTGGGGCTATCCCTGCCATCGCCTGCCATGACCGCGGGGCTCGCATGGAGGAAAAGGAGGACCCGGCGTCCTTTAAAGACTTCCTTTGTCTCTCGTTTTACTTTTTTTTCTCTCATCTGTAATCCATGCTCTCCATTGGCCTATAAAAGAGAAAGCAGAGCACCCCACTAAAGGGACCGATCAATTTCACACACCGCATCACACATCACACCACATAGCTGAGCAGCATCCAAGCTCTCAGCATTCGTTCGACCTTTTCATAAGAAACTTGGGACCCGTCCTTCTCTCGCTAGTTTGTACCCCTACTATGAACTTTTTAGTGCAAATAACACGAGCAACAACCACAAACTAGACGTAGAGACATTCTGGACCAAACCAGTATAAACCTTGTGTTTTTTAGCACACATCCAGATCAGACGCGTAATAATACAAATTTACTCGTTGGTGTTTACTCCTGTGCATTAAAATCTCAAACGCTCTGCTTCACAATGCTTGCGGATACGGGATTTCGCTCTGCTTCACAAATCACAATGCCCGTGGATACGGGATTGTTCCTGACGGACCAGGTGGGGTGATTCAACATGTGTGCAGTGAACCCAACTAAGGGCCTGTTTGGTTCTTTAGTCATCTTCTAAAATTTCTTGTCACATCGAATGTTTGACATATGCATGGAGTATTAAATATAGACTAATTATGAAACTAATTGCATAACTTGCGACTAATTTACGAGACGAATTTTTTAAGCCTAATTAGGGCATGTTTGGTTTCAAATAAGTTACCTACTTATAAGTTAAAAAATATAAAAAGTGACTTATTTTGTCAAACACCACCAACTTATAAGTCACCCATGCTTATAAGTTTTAAGTTGGTTCACCCCTGCTTAAAACTTATAAGTCACCCTTTTTTGTGGGGCCCACATATTTAATGAGCTTATAAGTCATCTACAACTAAACATATATGACTTATAAGTCACTGGTTTTCAGTCACCTGACTTAATAAGTCACCTGACTTATGGAAACCAAACATGCCCTTAGTCCATGATTTGACAATGTGGTGCTACAGTAAATATATGCTAATGATAGATTAATTAGACTTAAAAAATTCGTCTCGAAAATTAGCCTCCATCTATATAATTGGTTTTGTAATTAATCTATATTTAATGCTCCTCATTAGTATCTAAACATTTAACGTGACATGAATTTTAGAAGCGACTAAAGAACCAAACACCCCTAAACAGAAGTGTGGTCACGGGTCACATCACAAATACCAGGTACAAATCTGACGATTAGACTTGTACTAAAAGCGCGTGTTTAGTTCTCACCCTAAATTCTCAAAAAGTACTACAATAGTCATTACATCGAATCTTGCTATATGTACATGGAGCATTAAATGTAGACGAAAAAAAACTAATCGCACAGTTTGGTTGAAAATTACGAGACGAACGTTTTGAGCCTAATTAATCCATGATTGAACACTATTTATCAAATAAAAACAAAATACTACAGCAGCCAAATTTTCAACTTTCACCCAGCTAAACACGCGCAAAAATCGAAAGGGAGAAGTGATCAGAATGCAGCTTGGTCATTTGTTATTCGAAACTGCTCCGTCGCCGAATCATGGTCCTGAAGTCTAGTAATACCTATCCCACTCAGATTAATATGCTTCTCTTCAGCCGCGGACCAACATCTCCTGCAAATTCACATGCATTTGATAAATCCATCCCCTGAAAACAAGCAAGGAATACTTCACCAATTGCTTTGCGTTGCCCAGGCTGGGAGGCGAGAAAAATCCAGACGGTCACTTGCTCACAAAGCCATGTTCATGGCCATCGAATCTATCCTTCTCCTCCCCCATATCTCCTTACTGCACTTGGCGGTGTTTGTATATATATGCATCCACCACGAACGCCCATTGCCATGAACACACCACCCACCACCACCAGCAGCAGAGGCATTCCGAAAGCACATCACATTAGCTAGCCGTTCCTGGTTGCAGGACACGCGAGGAAACGGCAGCCATGGCCAACAACCGCACCTACGAGGAGTACGAGCCCGCCGTCGAGTGGAGCCGCACCGCCGACGCCGACGCCGTCAAGCTCTCGCTCCCAGGCAAGCAAGCAAGCAATCCCTTGTTTTTTTTTTCGTGAGAAAAAGCTCGTCGATGGATCATGAATGGCATGCGCGTTATTAGCTGCGTCGAGCGATGATTACTTACTGAAATCGATCGCTGGGGCTGCAGGGTTCAAGAAGGAGGACATCCGCGTGCTGGTGGACAACCACGGCCACCTGCGGACGCACGGCGAGCGGCCCATCGTCGGCAACAGGTGGAGCCGCTTCCAGAAGGACTTCGAGCTCCCCGCCAACTGCATCACCGACGTCATCCGCGCCAAGTTCGAGAACGAGAGACTCACCATCACGCTCCCCAAGATCACCCTCTCGCCGCCCATGCCGTTGCCGCCAAGGAGGCCGCCCATGGTGGCGCCGCCGCAGATGCTTCCGCCGCCGCCGGCGGTTCCTGAGCCAGCGGCGAGGCCTACCGCGCCGCCGCCCACGGTGCCGGCGGAGCCGCTGGATCCTGCTCCTTCCGTGAAGCCGCCCGTCGAGACCAGGCCGTCGATGCCGAGGAAGACGTACGCTCCCGTGCCGGCACCGGCACCGGCACCGGCACCAGCGGCGGAAGTGGAACAACCTGCAACCACCAAGCCCCAGTCGTCGCTGGGGGCTGTCCAGAGGCCTATGGAGGAGGAGGAGAGGCAGAGGGAGAGAGAGACAGCGGGGAAGGTGGCTGAGGACAGGAAGGAGATGGCGCAGGATCAGAAGGCCACGGAGCAGCAGCAGAAGGAGGCAATGCCGCCAGCAGACTTGGCGATGGCGAACCTGCAGCCCAGGCCGGCCTCGGCGAGCCGCGGCCTTCTGGTGAACGTGGCGGTCGCCGTGGTGGTGCTCCTCGGGATCACCGTCTACGTGTGGCACAGCCTGAGGAACGCGACGGGAGGCGCCGGCGGGCACAGCCACGGGCACCTGGGGGCCGGTAGCTACGGCGACGAGATGTGAACAAGCTGGCTCGAGGTGTGGCGTGAGTACACGATACACGTACACTGTACAGTAAACTGAAAATGAAGTAATGCAATGCAAGTATATATACATACACACATACGTACATGTACATGGGAGGCGCGGTACGGTACTGCGGTACATACTCCTATATGCCTGTTGTTCGTTTATCATCTGGTGTGACGGTTTAATGAGCTCTAAAAAACGGTTTATTTGATTGTTTGATTGATCAATTTGACGAAAATATTACTGGCCGTGGTTTTTATATTTAACTACCAACACTGTGTTTGACGATGCCACCACATCCTAGTCGTCGCGGTTGACGAGTGACGACGCCACGACGGTGGCACTGGCAGAGAGACCCAGCTCAATCCGCTGAACGAGTTGGTCAGCTAGGGCCTCTTTCTAGCCCATGATAGGTTTTGATTCTGGCCCATGATCAGGATCCTGGGCTTCCACGCCGGCCCGGACCCAGGACCCTGGTATGCGCTTACCTGCCCGCATACTCCTCTCTCGTGGTTCTACCGTTCCACTCGCGTGCGCTCTATTTTTCTCTCTCGTGACGACGACTGGGCGACCGCCGGCGTCGCCGCTGCCGCCCTACGTCAGGTGCCCCAGGCCTCCATCTCCGGGTCCTTCTCCAGCGACGAGCACCCACCAGGTACGCGCACCCCTTCTCCTCCGTTCCTTCTGTACGAAACCGAGCACCCAAACCCTAGCTTATAAGCTATCTGTATTCGGATCTGATCCAATTTCAAGCGTACTGGGTCCGAGTCCGATCCATCTCACTCGGATCTCTTGTTTCTCGGGTTTTTGGCAGAGGATCATGGATTGGCTGGGGCAGAAGCGCGCGGAGATGCTGATGCAGGTGCTGCTGCTGGCGTCTGCGGTGGCGGCGTTCGTGGTGGGCTATGTGCGCGCGGAGTTCCAGCTCATGCTGCTCGTCTACGCCGGCGGCGTCGTGCTCACGGCGCTCGTCACCGTCCCAAACTGGCCCTTCTTCAACCGTAACCCGCTCAAGTGGCTCGACGCTGCCGAGGCGGAGCGCCACCCGCGCCCCCAGGTCAGCGCCGGCGCGGCGGCAGTGGGTAAGAAGAAGTCCGGGAAGAACAAGTAGTTGATCGATATGTGTTCTTGGGCGATTGGACTCGACTTGTTTAAGTTCTATTCGCAGAACTAATAATTAATGATAAAAGAGATATTGAGATATTCGACAGTTTTGGTACTTAAAATTACTCGGTTCTAACTGAAATTTAGCCTGCAATCTTGCACGCTAGCTATCTGTTATATCTGCAATGATGATCTAAGAGGATGGCAACATGCTTGGTTATGCTCTTCCATTGCTTTTGTGTGTATCTTCCATTGATTTCGTCTGTAGGCTTATTAGCATTCTGTGGAAGGGTTTTTGCTGACTTCTGATGCATATCTATAGTTGGATAGTGAGTTTTTTTAGCAGAGATTGCATAGCTCCAGTTTGATCCCTTGATTGCCATTTTTAAGTGGAGGGTTCATATCAGTGCTGGGCAGGTTTAAATTACTCAGAACCTGGTCTTTGTTGGAATTTAACTATTAAATTCATTCGTAATTCTCTTGCAGTGTTATAGTCAAACATTTAAATATGTAGGTTGCATGTAACCATAGGTATCTTAGCACCTTTTGTATTCCTGCATGAAGTTTTCTGCAGTTTTTCGTCCTCCATAGGTAGGTCTTTGCCATTACTTATATCGTTTCTCGTGTTGATGAAAGGCGATGCAAGGATTGTTTCCACTCAGTTGTCTGATTTACAATAGCCAATGTCACACAACATCCATTCTACCCATTATCTTAAACATAGGAATCTGAGGTAAACAAAAATATGTTGAATCATATCAGCACCAGCCTTAAACACAGAGTGAAATAGTCATCCCAGTTGCCAGAAAATAAACTTGGCAAACAATCAGGCAAGGTGCAAATATATAAGGTTTTGAAAATATGTAGTGTACTTTGTATCTCAAGTTCTCAACTATAAAAATTAAAATAAGGAGCCACTTTTAATCAGTTACTAATCTTTTTTTTTTTGCTATTAAGGTTGTTTTGAAATAAGTGTACTTTGATTTTTTCCCCTCTCTCTCTTGCTCTCATTGTAATCTTGTGCTCTGCAGCTGTGTGTGGTATCTTCCAGTATGACTAGACCTGTATACTACAGGAGTATGTATCATTAATTTGCATAGAAATAAAGATATGATAATTTGTGCCGGAAAACAATATGGAATAGTATTTCTTATGAGGTATGTCAATGAAAATGTCCAAATGAAAATGGTCTGGTACAGGAGCACGCGTCAAAGATTGAGTAAGAAAATTGCTGTTTTAAGTTAGTGCAACTGTGCTAGTGATATTGACAGTGCTTTAGAACGTAACTTGGATTTAAGAGATGACATCAAGCACACATTGGCCACTCAGATTTAAGAGATGACAGCAAGCACACATTGGCCACCGGTGAGTAGAAGTTTTTTTTAGCACAGTTAAATGAACATGATATGAAATAGACTTGAGCCTTGTGGGTTCATGTACTGCTAGTACACAATGCAAAGCCTCTTAAGCATGAGGTTGAGTCCAACACAGCTAATATAGCTGAATGCTTCGAAAAGGAAAACATGATCCCCGTCCGGAACTGGCCGAACTCCATGGCCCACTCGGCGAGGTTGTTGATCCGATCGCGGCCCTGGTCGATCACCGGCACCATGCCGAACGGCGGGTCGATGCGCAACAGCCCGAAGTCGGCCACCTTGGCGACGCAGCCTTCGACGAGCAGGATGTTGGTGGATGATGTTCTCGGCGCAGCCCGGTGTGCAGGCCCCTCGCCGCGCGGATGCAAATCTCCGGCCGCTGCGTCCACGACAGCGGTGGCTCCTCGGACCCCGAGTCGTACAGGTGGGTCCGGTGTGGATGCGAGACAGCACCGGGTCGTACAGGTGGCTCCGGTGCTGGATGCGAGACAGCACCGCGATCCCCGTCCGAAGTCGGGGAAGCACCTGCTGCGAGGAGCGCGCCGCGCGCTTCACGGCGAACCACGGTACATGTTGCCGAAACCCCCAATGCCGATCAGGTTGCGCTCGTGGAAGCTGTCACCTGACAGTGGCCGAAACCCCCGATGCCCGATGTCGTGGAAAAACTGCGTGGCCTCCCCCTACTCCAGTGCCGCCCGCGGCACAGGACGACGGAGTCAGCAGCACGGACCAGCAGAGCACGGCGCCCGCGAGAACAGAGGCGCTGAGCACGCCGAGAGCGTGATTATCAGAAGTCTCCTCTTGCTGCTGCCATGTGACCCCGTCGTCAAGCTCGAATTCGAAGGTCGCGGTGGCTTCATGATCTCTACCGCATTGGCCATTCAGAAATCCGTCTTCACTTAGGTCTTAGGTTGATGTTTCAAATCGGTGCCAGTTTCAGATGACATGGTGGCCGCAAGGAAAATTTAGAGAGAGAAAAAAAACGCTTTTAAAGTGTGCTTTTATTTTTTTAAAAAAAAATATTGGCGTAGGGGTAGGCATTGATAAAGCAACTTGGCTTTTTACTGTCATTTTACGGGCTAGTGCTACATATCTTATGTAAGTTTGTAATAGGATGACAGGATAGGGTGCTAAAAAAATGAAGCTATTTAATTTGGACAGTTGATACTGATTTCTTAGGGTGTGTATTCAGTTATTTACAGTTTTCGTTAATGTTATACATTGCATATATATATACACACCAGCTGTCTGAATTGAGTTATGTCCACAAACGATGTCTGCTTCGCCACTGTAAGTACTTCAAGCAAAGGGGTACACCTTGGAACTGAAGCAAGACATGAGCAACTAGCTGAAGCAAAGCAAGGAGTTGCCTAGCAACGACAGTTACCATAAAACCTATCTGGGAGGCAACACCAATCCGCTGCTGAGCACAAAACATATTTGAAAGTCGAAACTACTGTAGCGTACAATGGCAGGATTACCCTCATTCCTCTGTCGTAACTCGTAGCCATTCTTCCTACGAAACACTGAAAAGCGTGAGTTCAAGGGTCATCAGCGGTCAGCACAGGCCCCCCATCATGCCGGCAACAGCCGCGCCGCCGCTTCCACCGCCACGCCGTCGCGTGTACACGGCGGTGGACCCGCGGTGCGAGTGGACAAGCACGGAGGACGCCGACACCCTCGTCGTCGACGTGTCAGGTAACACCTCCGATCCGCCTGACGAAATTCCACATTGCACTAGTAGAGCCTGTCGCCTGCGCGTCTTCTGAACAAACGGTCTCTTCCATCCAGGGTTCAGGAAGGAGGAGCTAAAGGTCCTGTACAACACCCGGCGGAAGCTGAAGGTCACCGGCGAGCGGCAGGTCGACGGCGGCCAGTGGGCACACTTCCTCAAGGTGTTCCCGGTCCCGAGGAGCTGCGACGCCGGCACCATCCAGGCCAAGCTGAACACTGAGAGCGCCCAGCTGTTCGTCATCCTGCCCAAGGGATCCACATCGTCCAAGGACAAGCAGAAAGAACATCACCCTGAGCGCTCACAGTCTCTCCAAGAGCTGATGGGGGCGGATACTGCGGACGATGCCTCATCAGGCAGCAGCGGCGGCAGCATGTGGAGCGCCCAAGAAGATCCAGGGAACGGCAAGGCCGAAGACAAGGAGCAGAAACAACATCATCAGGCTATGGAGGAACCGAGACAAGATCAAGTGATGAACATACAAGATTTGCCGAGAGGGGACGGTGACGCAACTGAAAATGCAGCCAGGAACGACGATGCTGATGGCAATGGCAAGGGTGAGGACAGGAGATGGTGGAGGAAGATCAGAGTGCTGCATGTTCTTGGCTTCGTCCTGGTCCTTGCATTGGTGGGTGTTGGTGCCACTATCCTGTATATAGTGTTACTGTGAAGAGCGTGGAACAATTGTATGTCGACATGTATGATGTATCATGTGCAATAGCATGGCATTCCACTCTGGAAGGAGAACATGACAATGCAGTTGGTGATGCAGTTCGAAGACTGCGTATTTCATTTCTGTTTATAACCAGAGCACACATACCCCCAGAAAAACAGCCTAAAGAAAATACACTCCAAACTTAGAACACATCATATGACGGTGTATCCCACCAATGAGACTAACCTAACCATGGAGCAGGGGTAAGATCCAAATTATTCAAATCAAATGGCCCTGCTGGCTTTGTGTTCAACAAGCCATGGAGCTATCAAACGACTCATTTCGCGCTGGCAAGCTGGGTGCGGATGAGCTTGGTAGCAGAAACCATGTTGGTCAGGGCGGGCTTGACCTCCGTGTACTTGCGTGTCTTGAGACCACAGTCCGGGTTCACCCAGAGGATGTTGGTGTCAAGCACGGCAAGCATCTTGTTGACACGGTCTGCAATCTCCTCGGTAGAGGGAATCCTGGGAGAGTGGATGTCATAGACACCAGGGCCAATGCCAGCTCCGTACTTCACACCCTCACGGAAGACGGACAGTAGCTTCTCATCAGACCGGGAGTTCTCGATGGTGATCACATCGGCATCCATGTCAATGATGGAGTGGATGATATCGTTAAAGTTGGAGTAGCACATATGGGTGTGGATCTATCCAAGAAAAGGGACCATCAGTAGAGATTCTAAGACAGATTTCCAGGTATCTCAAAACATTTCAAGGCTAATACCTGGGTGGTGTCCTGGACTCCGCAGTTGGTGATTCTGAAAGAGTGGACAGCCCAGTCTAGGTAGAATGCATGCTCTGACTTTCGCAGTGGCAGACCCTCCCTTAGAGCTGCCTCATCAATCTGGATCACCTGCAAAGAGTAAAAAGGTGTTGTTGCACATGGACATATCGATGAAACAAGAACTAGAAAACAAACTTATAAAAGTGGAAGATACAAACCTGAATACCAGCAGCCTCAAGATCCTCAACCTCCTTTTTGATTGCAAGGGCTATTTGGTAGCATGTCTCAAACCTGTATGCCAACAAAACATAATTTATCATATTCATTTTGCCGGGTCAGTTACAGATGAAGGAGCAGAAGCGCAAAACAGTGTTTCAAACTGTTTCTAAGCATATTGAAGCAGATTGGAAAAAGGAACAGACCTAGGCTGGTCGTTCCTGACAAATGACCAGTTGAGGATT